AGCCAAACAAATAGAGTGGCACTGATTAAGCATTGTTTTGACAAAGACGCAGTCCATCAGGACCATGAGGCAGAGGCATGCGGCAATGAGCCAGAGCAAGAGGCAGGGTTACAAAACAGTGTGTAATAGAGTAGCATGTGATAAAAGCATTGTGTTTTGACAAAGATGCAGTCCATCACAACCATGAGGCAGAGGCATGCGGTGACAGCATTGAAGAGCAAGAGCAGGAGGCAGGGTTACAAAACAGTGTGCAGCCATACAAATAGAGTAGCATTTGATTAAAGCATTGTCATTGCCAAAGATGCAAACCGAAAACAGGAGCCAGAGGCAGAAACAACTACTGCCGACAAAGAAGAACAAGAAGAGGTGGCAGGGGTAGATAAATCAGCTAAACAGTCTGTCAGAGACAATCATTAGAAGATTATGATGGCATAGTCAGTCTAGTGTGAACATGTCAGGAGGAGGCAAACATGCAAGTTCAAGAGCAAGAAGAGCAGGCAGGGTGAAAACTTCTTGGCAAATAATGTGAAAGCGTGCCTTGTCTTGTGACAATCATTGATGATGAACATGAGACCTGCTGACTCTGCTTTGCTTGTTCTTTGTAACTCAGTTGTAATCATTGGGTTCACCACTGATAAGCAAATAGCTACGTGCCTGACATTTGGTTTGACCAAGAGCCAAACCATGTGTCAAGAGGAAGAGCTCGCGTGGCCCTGGATGGAAGAACCAGAAGAGGCAGGGTTCACTGAAGAGTGAAAACAAAGAACTAAAAGCACAGCTAAACATATAGCTTCACAACTGTCTAATGTGAAAGTAACATTGACTCCATTGACAATTGTTTTGACAGGAGCAAATTGATACAGGGGATATGCCATTGGATGAGGAGGATGGGCGAATAGAATAGAACATGTCAACAGTACAGTAGTAGCATTGACTTTGAGACTGTGTGCGTGACTGCAAAATATAGCAACTCTTTGCAGGCAGTGGAGCAACCGGAAGAGGGTGACATCATTGAAGATGAAGAACCGGAAGAGGATGGACACTTTGAGCAAAAAACAAACAAGTTCAAATAATCAGAGTTGAGA